AGGTCACCCTTGAGTCAGGCACTGAACAAAGCCGGGAGAAACCCCCTTGCCCTCAGGTCAGTTACTCACAATCCCACGATCTCCCAGCATCTGTATTCTCTTTGTCACTGGAAATTCTCCATCACTTTTACTTCTAGACATCATAGGGCAAGTCCCTGATCACCTTATAATGGGGGGACAACCTATCTTAGAATCATAGAATCGTTAGGGTTGGAAAGGACCTTAAGATCATCCAGTTGCAATCCCCCTGCCATGGGCAGGGACACCTCCCACTAAACCATGTCACCCAAGGCTCTGTCCAACCTGGCCTCGAACACTGTCAGAGAAGGAGCATTCACATCTTCCCTGGGCAACCCATTCCAGTGCCTCACCACCCTCACAGTAAAGAACTTCTTCCTCATATCCAATCTAAACTTTCCCTGTTTAAGTTTGAACCCGTTACCCCTTGTCCTGTCACTACAGTCCCTAATGAAGAGTCCTCCACAGCACCTTTGTAGGCCCCCTTCAGATACTGGAAGGCTGCTATGAGGTCTCCACACAGCCTTCTCTTCTCCAGGCTGAACAGCCCCAACTTCCTCAGCCTGTCTTCATACGGGAGGTGCTCCAGTCCCCTGATCATCCTCGTGGCCCTTCTCTGGACTTGTTCCAACAGTTCCATGTCCTTCTATCTTAGGGTAGTTCTTGTGTCCATCAGGCTATTGATGCAGTAACCTGCAACATGAGGTAGGACACGCACGTCTCTCCTGCCTCTTTCTCTTCTATGCTGCTGCTTTTTAGTTAATGATACAGTTTATTTGATAACTAAGCATTTCTGTTTGCCTGTTTGGGACTTCAGGAAAACAAAAAGCTTGTTTTTCCTGGCATGCATTTGCTTGGTCAGTGCATTTTCACCAATATGAGCAGCTGTCTTGAGAAAATACTATTTCTCAGCTGGCCAGCAGAGAGAGCAGTCAGCATTCGGTGGACGTGTTTGGGATGCTTGGCCAGAGCTGCTCTCCTGCCTGCTTTGCCCTGCCGGTACCTGCTACAGTTACAGGAAGATAACCCTGACAGCAGTGCAGAAGTGATCTGTATCTGCAAGGCTGTAGGCAACGTATTGCCCTTGACTGCCTGTGTCTCTAATGTGAGAGCCAGTCCATCCTGTGCATCAAGGGCTATATGGCAACAGAGTCAAAACACCTACCAATGTCTGGGGATCTGTTCAGCATTCACAATCCCTACTGAAATGGGAAATCCCTAAGAATATCAGACTAACTGCTTCACTGTCAATTTATGGACTTCAGAGGTTACATTTATGTATCAGGGATACTGCACTCTGATCTGTGCTGTGAAGGAGGCTTGGGTGACATGGTTTAGTGTGAGGTGTCCCTGCCCATGGCAGGGGGTTGGAACTGGATGATCTTAAGGTCCTTTCCAACCTTAACTATTCTATGAGTCTAAGGAGGCAGAGACACTGGGGTGCGTCTGTATGAACCAGAGTCCAGTATGACAGCCCTGGTCGGGACATTTTGACCTGCATGGCCACTTCTCACCCCCTCATCATCCAGCCAGAGCCTCAGGCATGCCCTGAAGCACTGTTGCTCTCCAAATATCTACTGTGAAATCACCACCTCTGGGGTTCACTTCCCTTTTGTTAGAATGACTTTGGTCCAAATTTTATCATATTGCCTCAAACACAGCTGTGGATAGAACGACCTAAGAAGTTGTACCAGGGAATAGTATTTCATCTCCTCTTGAGGTGAAACCTGTCTGGACATCTGGTAATTACCAACTCAGAAATGTGAGGGAGGGAATGTGGTGATTTTCCTCTCCCTTCTGGCTCCCTCCTTATGCAAGAGCTGGCCCAGTTGAGGCCAAGGTTAATGAAGCATACCCAGAGAGTGAGTGTCTGGAGACATTTGCTCAGGTTTGCTCAGCAGCTGCCTGCCCCCTTTCCATGGAGCTCAGCTCCAGGTGAAGGCTTTCATTTGTGACTGTGGAGTGAGAAGTGAAGCACTCCATACAAATGCAGCCTTTCAACAAGTTAAGTGCAGCTGCACCAGTGGTTCTGGAAAATCTCTCCAGTTTGACCTAAGATAAACAAATATGGTTCCTTAAGTATCCTCAGTGTTTCCTTATACTTACAGTAGGAAATACCTTGGATATTGAGGGCAGCTAGAACAAATCTTACTTGGTTATCTAAGGCCTCTGGCAAGTCCCTGAGTTTCTGAGTGAGCTGAGCCACTTCTTAGGCATGAGGCATACCAAACTTCATTTTATAGTGATAATAATAAGCGTTCAAAGGACCCGAGCTGTGAACTGTCACTCACAAAGCCTGAGTTGAAGCAGCTTTATTCACCTGAAGCTCACTTTAAGTGTCTGGTGCTGGTGCAGAGGGCCATGAGCAGGGTATTTCCGATGAGCTGGATTCCTGACATCATATTACTCCAAAGCAGGAAATGCTCATTTGGCCTGGTTCAGTGTCATACTGGCCTTCCCATGCAGGGCTATATCTGGAACCCAAACACTGCAATAAGGCAGGAATCATTATATGTTATTCCTTTTTAAACAGCCTACACAGCAAGAAGATGGTAGTTATCTCAGCCTTCCCTTCTCCTTAGTATGCAATTGTGGTGGCGTGCTTCCCACCGTCTCAGCTTGGCTGCTGAAATGGCAGCGCACCAGCTCCGCGCTTGGAGCCATCCCGAGAAAACGTTCTGCTGCAGCTTTTAACCGTTTCGCTGTAAAGCTCTTCCACTGCCGGGGTGAAGCAAGGGTTTCCAGTCCCTGTTTATAGCCAGTGTAATCAGCTCGGCTATTTATACAGTGCTCATGACAGAGCACTTCGCTGTATGAAATGGTGACAGTTTTATTTATACCAGCGCAAAAACAAAGTCATCGCGGACCGAGGAGGCGACGTTCAGAGTATTCTTTCCTCACTACGTGACGCTCTTCAGCAGCTCAGACTTTTGTCAGGCAAAGTCGTGCTCCTAGGGAAAAAAAATACAGCCCTATGGAAGGCAGGGATCCCACCAGCCTTTGTCTGCTCTGTGTCTGTGAAGGAAATGGGACTGTTTAGTCAAGTAGCTTCTACCAGCGGCTACCTCGATATGAACATGCAGCGCTGCCAGCAACGTCCATAGAGTTGTCTTAGTTCAGCTAAAAGCAGAGTTTGATCTGCTCTGCCAGAGGTACTAAAAATACCTTTTAATATGCTAAGGTATGTGTCTGGCCAGGGCTTGTTTTCAAATGCATCGTTCCATGGAGTTGCTGCAAAATAAACGGAGCACAAGTAGCTCCCTCTGGAGATGCAAAATACCCAGTGCTGCAGGGATCCAGCCTTTCCCCTGCCTTGGTCCCAGCAGAAAGGTGGGAAGAAGGGACTTGAGGGGATTTGCAGTGCTGTATTTGTCAGAGGTGTTTTACTCAGAAGTTTCCTTAATCCTTGCTCTCATTTAACTTGTTTGACAAGTATTAAATAAACCTCCCCATGCTGGGTGTTCCTGAGATCTGAAATGCTAAGTGAGGGGCTTCATTCCCAGCAGAGAAGACCCTCCCATGGTCCTGGCAGCCCCTCCAAGCTCACACCATGCACAGGCTGGATCCATGCATGGAAGCAAAGCCGCAGCCTCCCCCTAAAGGCTGAGTGAGCCAGGGTGAAGCAGTCTCCCTCCCAGCAGCTGCAGAGCCCAAGTGGGACCTTCCTGCTGGTGCTCGCTGTGGTCTTGCTGCTTTGAACCACCACAGAAATCCAGGGCTGTGGAATGGCTCAGCCCAGCCCTGGCCACACGGGCGCATCCTCAGCCCTTGCCGGGATCATGGTGTACCTGCTGCTGGTGCTGTGCAGGGGCAGTGCAGGCGGTGAAGGTGGCAGGACACTACCGCTTGCTGGGTTTATGGAAATCCTCAGAAATTGGGATTATCTGTGCTCATTCAGTGAGCAAATGCCCTGGTTTAGGAGGTGGAGTCTATGACAAAAACCCATATGTGGAGGTTGTCCTGTACTGGGGACATCCGAGGCCCAACATGTGACAAAAGCACATGTATGGGGTCCAAAAGAGGCGTTATCATCTTCACTGTCACTTGGCCTCATCTGAAATGAGAGAGACATTGCTGTATCTTGCAGTAAGGTCCTCTGCCCTGCCTGCATAGTGCAATAGAGCCTACTCCCAGATGATTCAAATAATGTTATAACTACTTCTTGCTGTTGCTTAATGTGTTTGGGGAATGATCTATGGATCTGCAGCAGTACAGCCATTAGCACGGCTGGATTAGCAAGTGGAAGCTTTGTTTCGAGCTTTCTGTAATAAAATACCCCAGTGCTGAGGCATGCAGGCTCGCTAGGGTTTCACTGCCAACTGAAGAGAATGAGGGCAAAGGGTGATTAAATATTAAGTGAGATGCAAGATCCCACTGAAGCAGTTAATCTGGTAACCTGAGGATGGGCTGGAGGTAAAGGTGGCTTCCTGGGGGAGATACCTGAGAGGGTACGACAGCAACCAGCAAGAGGAGCTTTGGGGTTCCTCCATCAGTTTCCAGTGCCAAGAGACCTCAGGGGTAACGTGTGCTCATGGAGAAGGGACCCTTGGAATATGTGTATCCTTTTCTATTTGGATTTCCACCTCCTCCATAAATCAAACACCATTTCTGGCTGCGTTAGACTGTCAAGCAGGCTGTACTTACATCAGGCAGAAGACATTCTGCCTGAAAAAGAGAAATAGGTCCATGATTAATACAGAAACATTCCTTCCCCACCGCAGGATGAACCGTGTTCTAAAGCCTCTCCTTCAAGCAAAGCTGCTGCTGACAAGAAAACTGTTGACCTTCTTACACTACAGTGAGGCTTTTGAAAGACATCTTTATTGTGTGTCCGCATGCCTGCACATGCGTGTCTGTGTGCCTCTCCACATGTACAGACACAGACGGCTTCCTTTGCAGCGGGTATTGGTTCCTGAGCTTGCTGAGCTCACCTCAGCCTTAGCAATGAGTGGTGTTAACTTATATCCTCACTGCTCCGTTAGCAGTTGGCCCTTCCTGAGGAGGACCCACGCCTTGGCTGCTGCTGCCTACCTGGGTGTAAGTGATGTGAAGGCTCCTGCTCTGCTCCCTCCTCGCTGGCACAATCATGGGCAAGTAAATCTGGTTAAATCAAGACCCCTTACCTTTCTGAGGCTCTCAGGCCAGTGTATTACTGCACTCCCATCATTTCCCCCATCCCATACCCCCTCGGAAACATTGAAAGATGTTATCTTTTCCTGATACAAGCTATGCTAAAGCTTGGTTCCTTCAGGAGACAAACTGGTAGCGGAAACATTGACAGCCATACAGGCAAATATTGTCCTGCTTAAAATCTTTATTTAGATTGCTCCATTGCGAGGAGAGCTGTTTGTTTGTTGGGTTTTATTTCTCATTTTGGACGGTGCTAAAGACGCCATAAAATTAACTACAGTATTATTCCAGTGGTTCATGCGCTTCATGGGCCTTCAAAATTAAAAGCAACCACGATAAAATGAAGCAAACAAACAGTCCTGAGGAGGCCCTAATCCCTCTCCCCCGTGCTCGCAGCAGCCACCAAAGCCAGCCGGGGTCCCTGGAGGGCAGGAGCGGCAGACCCTGGGCTGAGAGGGATCCTTGGGAGGGCTTTGTTGCTCTGCCATGGGGATGTTAAAGATTCTGGCCCGCTGACAGCCTATGCAGTAAGCATAAACATTTGGCTCCAGCAAAGGGCTGCAGACGAGAGGCAAGTTGAGCATGAGATAAAGAGGGGCTTTGCAATAGTGCCTAGCTGAGCAAGGGCTGCAGGGGGGAACCCGAGGCGGGCACAGGGAGATGCAGCCATCAGTGGAGGATGGAGCTGGGCACCTGCTGGGTGCCTCTGCAGGCTCCTGGGGCTCCCAGCTGATGGCTCGTGCTGGGGGCAGGGGAAGAGCTTGAGAAAGGGTTGAAAATACATCACTGGGGGCATTGGGGGTCTGAGGAAAGAGCTTGAAGCAGAACTGAGGATGTTCAGCCTGGAGAAGAGAAGGCTGCATGGAGACCTCATAGCAGCCTTCCAGTATCTGAAGGGGGCCTATAGGGATGCTGGAGAGGGGCTCTTCATTAGGGACTGTAGTGACAGGGCAAGGGGTAACGGGTTCAAACTTCAACAGGGGAAGTTTAGATTGGATATAAGGAAGAAGTTCTTTACTGTAAAGGTGGTGAGGCACTGGAATGGGTTGCCCAAGGAAGTTGTGAATGCTCCATCCCTGTTGGTGTTCAAGACCAGGTTGGACATGTTGGGAGACATGGTTTGGGGTGAGGCATCCTTGCCCATGGCAGGGGGTTGGAACTGAATGATGTTAACGTCCTTTCCCACTCAAACCATTCTATGATTCTCTGATTCTGTGCTTGTAGCATTGCTTTTGATCATGGTGTGTTACACATCCCAACAGCAGCCATTTTGCAGGGGCAAGGGGTATAAGGAAGTAAAGAGCACTCAGGCCTCCACTTCCCAGCTCTTCCCAAGCAGACCAGCTGCCCACTATAGTTCAGGCTTAATTTGTGCCCTGGGTTCTTTGCAACACTCCTTTAAAACTCAGGTCTTGCCCTGCTGACAGCAGAGCAGCATCGCTGTGCTGCAGCCTGGGGTCACCCAGCCCTCAGGCTCCTGCTTTCCAGAAGGGCCAAGTGGAGGGAATGTTGCATTTTTGCAGTCTCTTAAAGAATAAAGAACTTTGTAAATACCAAAGAAATGACCTTGGGGCCTTTGACAGCCTGAGCAGAAGGGGTGTGAGGTGCTGCTGTTCCACCCAGGGGTGTTCCAGACCAGCTCTGCCTGGCTCCGTGTGCGAGGATGGGTGCTGCATGGCGGCCGCTCCCTCACAGCTACACGTGTATGAGGTGGTTCACTTGGCTCGTTGCTCCTGAGCATTCAGCATAAGCAGGGAATAATAAAATACAACTTTTCCTCAGGGACTGGAGGAAACAAATTCCTGCCTGGGTGTAGCTGGGGGCAGAGCCTGGCTCATTATTTTCTATGAAACAATTCCCACGTGGCCTTGTGGAAGCCCAGCTCTGTTTCTTTTTTTTCCCTTCTCATTTTTCTACTTCCTTAAACTTTCCAAAACACTCGGCACTAACATATTTTCCCCAGTCACATGTGTCTGCGAGGAGAGAAAAGGTTAAATTCTCCCTTCGTACTATAATGTAATTCATTTCCTGTTTTTCACAACTGTCTAGACACAGATCTAACGAGCATTAACCCTCAATCCCACCATTGGGTTAAAAATAGAGGCTTTATATATAAAAGTGTGTGGTAAGAGAAAGATTGTAGGTTTCTACCTACAACCAGGAGCCAGCTCTTTTCAAGGAGAACCATTTAATTGTCTATAAGCAAGAAAAAAAAACCCAAATAAAATAACTTTAGTTTCAGACGTTTAAAAAGGCTCCTGGTTGCTTTATATACACAAGCAGCAGGGACACATTGATCCCCCTTCATGAGTTATATTTGTCTGGATTTACACCTCCGGCTATATCCAAAAAAGAAAGAATAAATTCCACTTCACTAGGAAAGCTATAATAAGATTGGGAGAAAGTCATTTGGAAGAGAACCCACGTTGAAAACCATGGCCAGGGTCTGATGGGAGACCCGTGGACAGAATGTCCCCCAGCCGAGGAGGGTGCCCCATACTCCAAGGGTTAAAGCAGTACGAAGAGGCACCTCACGTTGGCTGCAGTGTGTTAGGGCCCAAACTCCACAGCATTTAAGTACTTCTTCAGGCATGACCAGACCCAGTGGGCTCAAGCTGGATGGTGGTTGGGATGGATGCTGGCCCTAGGCTGAGCCTGGCAATGGCCCTGTGGATGCACAGCCTCCTCTGACACTCTTCCTGTGGGCCGGGATGCTGCACCAGGGCAGGAGGAAGGAGAGGTTCCTGGCCTGTAGCATGAGCTGAACCCCTCACAAAGTACAGGCTTTGGAGAAAAGCAAGGAGAAAACAGAACTGCAGCTACCTTGGCTCTGGGAGCAGGCAGAGACAGAGATGGCTTCTAGGCTGTCACCTGTCACACACACCATTCCCATCACTGATTACCCACAGAGACACCCTTTTAGGTACTTCACAAATAATATGCCTGTAAGAACAAGCTTATCTCAGTGCTCAAAAGCCCTGTAAAAGTCAGTTGAAATCCATGCTGTGAAGAGGAGGGACTTGCATTTCCTGCATTGACTGCGTTTCTTTTCCACAGACACAACCCCCCCAGGGGTGGTTTTTACCCTGTGTGTGGAGAGGGCAGCGGGCTCCTTCCCTCCAGCAGCTGCAGGAGGACCACAGCACCCCACATCATCTCTGCCACCTCAGCCCCAAAACCTGCTGGGGCTGCCTCCTGCATCCAAGGCCTGTTCTGAGCAGGACCGAAACAATCCAAGGAAAACGCATTAAAAAGACATTAGTTTGTTTGTTTTCTACTAAAAAGCACAGCATATTGCACATCGAGAATGGCAAGGGGTGAACTCGTTTCTTTCCAGCTTAGGGAAGGCCTTTGAACCCACACGAGCTATTTATAGAGCCTTTTAGAAAACAGCTCTCCCATTCCTGCAATTCTGATGACAGAAGCAGCTCAGGTTTTGTTAAAAATAAAGCAAACCCCTACACGATTGACAGGGGCTCACCCCACGCCCCTTGTGAAGCAGAGAAGTAGAACTGAGAACTGGGGAAAGCTGGGGCAAAGCAGAGTTGTGATCTTAATATTTGATGTGTGCTTTTCAAAATGCCTTTTGCCCAAACTCTGCTCCTTTGTTAGGCTCCAACCATTGAGGATGCTTCAAGGAATTAACAGGGTGACTGGTTACTGATCCAAGTGGAACAGGTTGTCCAGAGAAGCTGTGGCTGCCCCACCCCTGGCAGTGTTGAAGGCCAGGCTGGACAGGCCTTGGAGCAACCTGGTCTAGTGGAAGATGTCCCTGCCCATGGCAGAGGTTGGAACTGGATGAGCTTTAAGCCCCTTTCAACCCAAACCATCCGGTGACCTCATCCATGCTTCTGGCTGCCTCAACAGCTACCCTGAGTGCTCTTAAAAGGTAGAGATGTTAATGGCAACAACACAGAAGTAAGAACAATCATGGAATAGTTAGGGTTGGAAAGGACCTTAAGATCCTCAAGTTCCAACACCCCTGCCATGGGCAGGGACACCTCACACTAAACCATATCACCCAAGACTCTGTCCAACCTGGTCTTGAACACTGCCAGGGATGGAGCATTCACAACCTCCCTGGGCAACCCATTCCAGTGCCTCACCACCTTTACAGTAAAGGATTTCTTCCTTATATCCAATCTAAACTTCCCTTGTTTAAGTTTTAACCCGTTACCCCTTGTCCTGTCGCTACAGTCCCTAATGAAGAGTCCCTCCCCAGCATCCTTATAGGCACCCTTCAGATACTGGAAGGTTTCTGTGAGGTCTCCATGCAGCCTTCTCTTCTCAGGGAAAGAATATAGGGAATTATATATAATTAGCATATTCACAGAGAATATGAGAACTGTAGACAGACCTCATCCACCATATTCCTAAAAAGTATTCCCCTTTAACGACTGAGCCTATTAAAATACATAGGATTGGACATTTTCAAGGAAGTTTGTGCAATAAACATGTCTTAACAGCTCTCTCATCCCCTTGTTTAAAAGGCTCTGGTCATCTTGCAGACTGTCCCTTGTTTCCAGAGCTTTGTGTCTTGGGGGTGCAACCCTCTAACTCTAAACCTGAGGCATAGCATAACTACAGAAAGACCTGTGAAACCACTCAAACATACCTTGACAGTGCAAATGAGATTAAACCCCAAGCACCTGCATTTCATGCTTATTTTCATAGCTGCCATAGCTTTTATCAGGCAAGCAATCCTGGTTTACCATGGTAACTTCTCCTCTTCCAACCTGAAGCGTTTCATTTGCCTTTTCAACTGCTGTTCCCCCTATTTACTGGGAGTCCTTATAGTAGGTTCCTATTGGCATTCCCTCCGAGCAGGAGCCTGGGTCAGCCTGTTGCAGTCCTGACCAACCAGATGCAATTGTAATTGAAAAAAAGATAAAAATCAGTAATTTGGATAACATGTCCATGAAAAACAACATTTCCATAAGCCACGGGTTAGAGTTGAAGCTATCAGACCAGAGTGAGCAGTAGTGATCTCTTTTGGGACAATAATCACTCCTGTGATGTGTCCAGAGAACACAAGCTCCACATCAGCAATGTTTTTGCTAGAAGTAAGGGCTCCATTCACCTCAATCTCCTTCAAGGTCCAATGAAGCAACAGCTCTATCCAAGATACTCTTCAACTGCCACAACAACCCAAGTTCTAGATGTTCCTCCATCTGGATGTTCCTCTGTTGCTTATAGTTACCAGAAATGTGAAGTCTGAAAGGTCAACTTCGAAGCAATGAGACGACCAGCTCTGTGGTTCACATTGTTTGAACATTTATTGCAATTCAGTGTCAAAAATGTTTTACAAAAATACATTACTGTCTGCACAGAACAGATGTAAAAATCAGAGCTGAACATGCAAGAGAAGACTCAAAAAAAGTGCAAATTTATAATGGAAGGATTTTAACCACACAATAATATTAAACAGAAGTCTTATATAAGGGATGCCTTTCACTTCATATCATATCTAGTTACAGCTTTAAGGAAAAACAAAGCAGTACACACGCTCCCTTCCATATATAAGTAGGTATTTATAATTACTGCAGATTAGTTCCTAAAGATGAGCGTATTTGCTGTTTCAAATTAAAATGTTCTCTTGGTAGCAGGCCCGTTAGCATTCTGTGCAGCACACGATGGCTAAAACAAATATGCAAGTTCCACCCTCAGCTGGCCTCCCAGGAGGGGAAGCAGCAGTGCTTGGTCAGTGGAGGAAAATCTCTGTCATGTTCAAGGTATTAATATACTAGAGACTGCATGTGTCAAGGACAAGATGGATTTGTTCTCCCTAGGGCCAGATCCTGCAAAGCTGATTACCAGCACCTGATGTCTATCACCTAAAGGTAGGTAAAGACACACAGCTCAGCAGCCACAGGCTGACAGCTTGTGTGACAGTCTTCAGAACCTTTAACAAGTATCATAAGCCATGAGCTGAGAAAAGCAGCACAAGCAGAACACCAGAGACCCAAACCTTCTAACAGCAAGTCTTTATCAATCTAACCAGCCATCAGCTCCACAGGGTGTGTGTTTTTGCAAGCAGGCCAGCTAGGAAGAGTGCCATTTTAATTTAAAGCTATGTCTTTTTGGCAAAGTGCTGATCTATGGGGAAACTGTGCAATGGGTTTGTAAGAACAACTGCAGAGGACAATGCTGGTTTGCTATCCTGAGCAGGAGAGAAGTGTGAAACAGCACATCTGATTTATGAGCTACATAAGAGAATTTGAAATGTTCCTGCTCTACATCACATTTTAGCTACTAAGGGCCAAGGGATTTTCAGGGCAGGAAAAGCTGATTTAGTACCTGAATATGTTGTAGAAGGTGACAGCTTAGCAAAGGTAATTGAAGTCAAACAGAAATGGGAACACAAACAGTTCAAAACCTGGGGGCAAAGAAAAAGAATACAAAAGATATTCCCATATACAGAAAGTGGCAGGGTGCAAATAAATGTTTACATACAAAGCAGTATCTTCAGAGCAATACAAGCCTTCCTAAGCACTTTACAAAATAAAAGGATCTAGAAACTCCCACAATTAAAAAACAGAAACCCAAACAATACAAGAGGAGGTACACATTTTATGATCAACCTTTACCATACCATAGTTAGTATAAAGGGCTTAAGGTATGTACAGCTAAAATTACGCCTCTTGAAGTGGCTATCACATTAAAATGAACTCCGAATGCCTGCCTATTGTAGAAAGCTGAACTGCAATCTCTGGGATCTCTCCCTTCCTAAGCCGCCTCCTTTCCCTGCATAGATCTATTTTTCCTCTTCACAACACCATGTTCTACTGCTGCACTGGTTAACACATCCTCTAAAGATAATGAGATTTCTTTGGATATGCTGGCAGGAAAAAAATAAAAGAGGAAAAAAAATCCTCCTTCCACTGACTGGAAGGTGAAATGTCATTTGAAAAGAACATTCTATTTCCAAAATACAAGTAAAAGTCTGTTTTCCCTTCACAACAGCTTTGCCACCATTGTCTTAAAATAAAGAGGTCCTTTTTGCACGAGAGCAGCCTCAAACCACCCAGCCTGGAAGCCCCTGTTATCGCTGTCAGTTCTGTTACTCTGCCATCCGCAGCCAAGCAGATGCCTGTGCACTGCTAAAATACTGATCGCTTTGTTTGTAAGTTGTTGGACTAAGGTATCTGCATGCAACAGCAGTTCATCTGAAATACAAGAGTATTGAATTCACCACAACATCTTCCTGTACCAGCCTTTCAAGAAACAATGGGTCTCCCAAAGAGATCAAGGTCTCATGTGACTCTTGCTGTAGCAGAAGGGTAATGACTGAGGCTTATTCTGTTTCCTTTAGTCCATTTTGTTCTCCAGCACAGTAGTTGCTTGGTTTTCTGCTGCTTTGGACACAGCAATATCTCAGGACCTCACAAGAGCAACACACAAGTGTTTGTATGTATTAACAAATAATCTTCACCTCTTTGACCCTTTAAGTTTATACAGTGCTAATAAATAAAACTCTCACCTCTAACTGAAGTTTTATACATAGGAGCCTCAGTTGCACATTATGTTGTGAGCACAACCTGTGGTCTCTGGGCAGAGGACACAGAGTAAACGCTTTGCTCAAGAGCGGCGAAGGGCTGATAGAGACAATGAGTAATGCTCAGACATTCCTGAATCACAGCTAAATGCTGAGATTTTGTCTTGCTGTCCAGGGAATGGACTAGGCTGGATTCAAACCTGAGCTTGAAATTCACCCAGTGTCACAATCTCACAGTGGATAAGTGTTATCTGCCAAGCATGGACTCAGACTAGGCAGAACCCCCCAGCATTTCATAGTGAAGTAGCACTGCCTTCCCATCAACCATAGTGAAGTTGGCTCACTATGGGTGGCAAGACAATGGAACAAAGCCACCCTAGGTCAGAGCTGGAAACAGATGCTGCCAAGGGGCACAGATCCTCTCACTTCTAGAAAAAGGAGCTACAACAATCTCCAAATACAGTGGCAGTGCTTCACTCACTTCACTTGCATGTTTCTGTCCTTAATATCCTCATTCACAAAGCCAGATTTCAGCCTCATCTACCCACTGTGGGTATGAATATGAACACACAGTGTGGGAATGAAAACAAACCGGCCTCCTTCACTCAAACGTCCCTCCAAACAAGCACAAGTTAATTTTTCCAAGGTAACAGCTTTTAAATCACTTTCAGTTGACATGAGTATGATCAGCAGGCTTACGCTTTCCACCAGCAAACTGATGGATGGGGCATCAACACCAAGACAAAGCTCTCTATGCTGCACGTGTTTTCTCCTCATCTCTGGAGAGTGCCAAGCTCTGGGCTATGGCTAAGGGTGCACAGGCTCACAGAGCAAAAGCTTGGGTTTGCTGTTGGAAGGCAGAAGGGCAGCTCCTGTCAGCATTTTCCTGGTTTTCCTCCCCCATTTCCCCAGTGCTCCATCTAGAGGCAGCTTTTTTCCCTTTTTGCATCTCTTCCAAGAAAATGCAAAGCGATTTAGTTTGCAAAAATGCAAATACTGTCAATTTTTAATATAAACAGCTCCAGAAAAGTGTGGAAAGTCAGTTATAAAAATGTAAAAAAAGGAACAGAATAGTTAACAATAATTAACTCAAGTAGTTCTTCCTGAATTGTCCTGAGTACTCCACTTCCTCACAGTTCTTTGTACATAGTCACATAAATGTTTACCCTTCCAAGGTATTCTGCTTACATCAGCACAGAGAAAGTGCTATACAGGAAATCTACTGGCAAACAGCAAAACCCTTCCATACCTTGTTAGATATGAGCTGGATGCTTCGAGATCCACTCTAGGGAAGAGTGAAGCATTGCGTGCAACAGAGGAGATGTTGAGCCAGATCATGGCCACAGTGAAGTCAGTTTGGCCACTTACTCCATAGGATTGAAAGTTTAGCTCTAGGCTGGTGTTAGATGATCCCATAAAGCAGCTCAGCACTGGAAGTGGAAGGGATTAGGCTGGGTCTTTGGTTATTTCTCTGTGTGAGTAGCAAAGATGCCAAGTGCCATGCTGGAAATCCCTTGATTACCCCAGTCTTGACTGCTGTTTTTAGGAAAATGCTGACCAGTTTCTTCATGGGGGTTGGACCAGATGACTTCTGAAGGTCCCTTCCAACCCAAACTATTCTATGATTCTATGCTGTCTCGCTCATCACCCTAAACTCCAGTAGTCTTAAATGATGCTGTCAGTCCTCAAGTGACTAAAAACCGCATAATTTCACTAGATTGGATGGTCCAGTTCTCCCTGTATTTTACCTGCCCCAAGATGACTGAATTCACTTGACAGCAGTGGGAATACAGAGCAGTGTTGGAAAACATGGGCTTGAAGAACCAGATTCTAACCTCACTTGGGATTTCAACCAGTGTAATTAACCTAGTGGAGTTGATAAGTCTTTACATGATGAGATTAAATCCAGTCCTTTGTTTCTCTATAATAGAACTTCCTCCCTTTTAGATAATCTTCATCCTTGTGGCTTCACTTTCCCCTTTTGCTTAGTCTTTCATAAACCCAACAAATTAAAAGAGGATGGAGTAAAGTCTTAGGTATTTATATGGTGCCTATCATCTAGGCATTCAAGCACAGAGCAAGATAACTAATGTAAAGAGGTAAGCATTAATACAAGAAAAGATGCTTACTATCACAAACATTTCCCTTTAAATCATTGTACAAAATACAAAAGTTCACATTGTACACTGGATTCTTGTCTGAAAGGTACTCAATCTATTAGAGGTAGAAAGTAGTATGTTGCCATTCTCTCTCACAAGTAGGCTAGAGTTCCATGCATTTCAGAATGTGTCCTTTAAAAACAAAAGTTAAAGTTGTCACAGGGATATTTTTCATAGTTTTAAAACATCATATTTATAAATATGTATGCTAAATAAAACCAGATGGAGGAACAGTTCAACAGTCCTAGCCTCGTATTGCTTTCTCTCTATGAGAAACAAACCAAAAGAGTTCTCAAATGGTTGAGGGGCAATTTCATTTTTAACTTCTAAAAACAAGAACATGAATTTTTTTTTGCCCTGTATCTTGTACTCTGATCATAAAAAAAGGGACTCTGTACAACGTGCTGCGTTTATACACCAGTCCTATGGAAGTCTGTATTCCTTAAGTGCTGTGCGTCAGTGAGCAACTTCACCTTTCATCTCCGAGATCCTCTTGTTCCTTGACTCAGGAGCTTCAAAACAGACATGAATATTTACACTATTTACAAATGGAGTGTCCAAGCTCAGTGGCATAAAGTGTCCTGTAAGAATCGCATAAGCTGCGGTGACCCAAGTTCAAAACCTGAACAAGTTGATAAAGTCTTGCGGCGAAAGTGAGGTGGAGCAAGTCTCCGGGTTGTTGGCTGTGCAGGGGTGATCAGTGCCCTGGGAAAGGAGAAAACAACTCCATTTAGAGAGATTGTGGAAAGGGTGCCAGAGCATCAGCCAACTTAGCACTGCCCCCTGCCAGATATCCTGCTTGCAAGCAGAGTAGAGCCCAGAATAATATTTCTACTCTCCAAAGCAGTCAGAACTGAGCTTTGTGTATTAGGGGCTACTGGCAAGTCACAGGAAATAAAACCAGCAAAGATCCAGTTCATTCTTTTCCCTTTTTCTGAGGGATGAGAGGCTGGAGCCTACCATCAGCAGCACAAGTCTAACTATAGAGACCTGCCCTACCACAGCAGCCAGCAGATTTTTGTCTAGGCTGTTCTGTAGCCAGCTAATTGTGTTGCCAATATCTCCACCTCCATGTAATGGGTGGGAGGAGTTTCTGGCAATGCTAAGGTGATTTACTGCAGGCAGCCCTAAAGTATGCCCATTTCCCTCCCCTCTGAGGGCCACTACTTTTGTTCAACATAAAAATCGGATCTCAAGCATAGGGGAGAAAGGACCTTAACAGCTGAGGGAGGATTAAGATGTAGGAAAACACCAGGTTATGGAGGCAAAGGAACAACAGCACCCCAAAACAGCTGCAATCAGACAAAGCACTGGGTGCCCCAGTGCTCCCACCCCAATCGAGTTTGCCCCACCAGCACCTCATACCTTCCAGGAGAGGATGTGGCAGTGCCTGCAGAGCTGCAGCGTGTCACCATACTGCTCCTTCCGTGGGTAACACCTTATGAGCTTGAAGTACATCTTTTTCCAATCCAACTGCCCTTTGTCAGATAAGATTAGCCGTTTGCGAATCTGAAGAGAAAATAACAACAACTGTAGCAGGTCAAAAAAATAATGCTTTGTTCTTCCCAATTCATGTTCTCTCCCTAGCAACCTTGTGAGGTCCCGTAACAGTTCCTGAGAAAGCTCCTGCTCTGAATATCCAGCTACAACCAGCTTCCTGATGGCAACAGCCTCACCCAATACCGTTATCGGGATCTATTCCTATTTCATTAACATTACCATATGAATCCTGAAACACTGGGAGCTATTTTGTCACTACTCTAGCCACGGTTTCTGGCTGGCAGGACAGTGAGTACAGTTGCATTTAAGTTTTGGAAGTTATTTTGCTCCTTCACTGACTTGCAGAGTCAATGATTTGTCACATGAGCCTGGGCAACACCCATCTTCAAGGGTTCATTACTTGCAGAGACTGAACTTGAATTAACTTCCGCAGAGTCACTTCCAAAGTCAGATTCAGATAGTCAGAGCAAATAAAGCCAAGTAATCAGAGAGATGTGGCACACGGTCCCTGAAGTGCTGAGGTCTGGCATAAACATCCCAGACATTCACCTATAAATACAGAGAGGGACTTTGATTTTAAGTTTAGAAGACCCCAGATCTGGAGCCCACAACATAAGGACGTGGACCTGTTGGAATGAGTCCAGGAGGCCATGAAGATGATCAGAGGGTTGGAGCTCCTCTGCTATGGTGAGAGAATTGGGCTTGTTCAGCCTGGAGAAGAGAAGGCTCCAGGGACACCTTAGAGCAGCTTCCAGCGCCTAGAGGGGGCCTATGAGAAATCTGAAGAGGGATTTTTTTTTATAGCGGCAAGTAGTGACAGGACAAGAGGTAATGGCTTTAAGCTGAAAGAGAGTAGACTTAGATATGAGGAAGAAGTTCTTTACTGTGAGGATGGTGAAGACACTGGTACAGGCTGCTCAGAGAAGCTGTGGCTGCCCCATCCCTGGCAGTGTTCAAGGCCAGTTTGGACAGCCTGGAGCAACCAGGTCTGGTGGAAGGTGTCCCAGTCAGTGGCAGGGGGTTGGACACTTCCCAGCCATGCAATTATATGATTACCAGCTTGTAAAGGGCTAAAGATGTTTGCCTTATGTAAACTTGGGTACTGGTAGGGCTGTTTTCCACAGGGCTGTTTTCTGCATAGTCCTGTCACTCACAGAACAGCTCAGAGGGGATTTCCTGCTCTAAAGCATAAGACAGTACAACTCATTGCTCATGGACCACATCCACAGAGATTCTCTGTGAGGGTGTCTGTCCTTGTGACATCAGGGTCCAGGCTGGAACTTGCCTGCACGTTTTCCCCACACACATGGTGAGAGGAGCATGACTTGCAGTTGTTACTACCTGGATTAGGGTTGAAGTTCACCATATGACTAATTCCTCAGGCTCCTGTTTCAGGAATCATTTCTGTGGCATGCAAAACCCTCTACATAAATCATCTTCACAGCCATCCTCATGCCAGTCTGTATTATCAGCTTGTGGCACAGCACTTAGATCCAAGGCGAGTCAATTAAGAGTGTCCTACCCATGTGTTCACTTGCAAGTGGGGTACAACAAGCAAAGTGGTGGTAGTACCTGTCTGTCTGTGAAGTGGTACTGGCAGAGCTTCTTCCACAGCAGCCGGTCTTCGCTGAGCACTTGCAGGTCAGGAGCCACCTGACCAAGGCTAACCAGGTCTCTCCCATCACTCAGTCGCTGCATGATGTTCAATTGTAAACACAATGGTAGGTCTGTGAAAGTGGTTCCTTTAAAGGCAGGCTGGAAGAGACAGACAAAAATAGAGTTCACAGGAAGCTGAAAACCCAAGCAATTCTATGCTGCAGCAGAGTTACTGCTTTCTTAGCACTGTTCTTCACATAGAGGATAATGCTGTAGTTGCCTCTTTGAATAAGGAGACATTTTACATAGAGATATTTAACCTTCTGCCCCACAACAGTTCGAGATACCTTCAAGGATGAGGCCATGTACATGTAATACAGTAGTTAGAAGCAGAGTTGCAGTTCAAGCCTCCTCCTTCCCTTTTTGTGCATCCCACATCCATACTTATGAGACTCTGCTCCCAGAAGCACCACCACCAGCTTTCACTACAGCACGACATTGGCTGCATCATGGTATCAACTATAAACCACCCAGGTCTCTCCACCATGAGGGAGATCAGTTCTACTTCTCAAGTTCAGACTCATGTTATGCATATTGCTGGGAATCTCATGCTCTTCTGACATGTGTTTTAGCTTATGCTGTCACAGGACCCTGCTGTAACCACAGCAGCGACTGATGAGCACCCACAGCAGGGTTTTTCCCTGCATGTCTTCCCAGGTCACTGCTGGCAAGACTAACTTTGCGAACACTTGAAGGACCTGCCCCTTTCCCATCAGCTGCAGCCATGGCTTTCTAGGCTGTTCAGCCACACCAGAGCACATCCTAGCCCACAGAGACAAAAGCCACCTTCACACCCCATCCACCTTTGCTTGGTCTACATGGGGTGCAGGACTGTTTTGTAGGTCATCATGGTGGCACAGCTCCAGGACAAACTGACCACAACAGATTCGCAGGCCCTGCACTTGGGAGAAATTCAAGGCACACATGGGAGCAAAGCATCAGCAAGGACCACAACCCGGACTCCAACTGCTCCAAAACCAGCCCCAGCCTTATTAAGGCAAACAGCAGCTTTTAGGATTAGGTCCCAATGAAGAAACAATGTTAGACAGATGTGCCAAGTTTATCATTTACCCTGCATAGAGATGCTGCTATTTTAAGTCACAGAGTCACAGCACCCATCTCACAATTGGCAGAGCTATTAACTGTTTCAAACAAGAAGCACGAGGCCCACCATCAGCAGGGGAACACTGCACGAAGCTGCTTTTAATCATGTGGTTCCACCTCCGGTCATCCCATGTGAAACTCCACAGGCACAACAAGTATGTGTGTACACAAATAGCTCCCCCCTTCCCTTCAGTGCCCTCATCACCAGCCTGTCCAAACCATGCAGCACTACCCGGTACCTGCAAGTGCCACAGTTTTTCAAACGCATCATTTCTGGCTACCTCCACCAGCAACAGGCCTGAAAGAAACGCTCCAGGAGTGAACTGTCTCTGCCATCTCCAGAAGACATTTCTTCCCATGACAGCCTGGGTCGTATCTTGAGGTAGGAAGAATGCACTGAAGCCTGGATCACCTCCCATTGATCTCCCTTCCATTCTCCTGCACTCTCTACATATAAGCTTTGCTATGGCACAACATGAAAAGACTAAGCTCAGAGGCTCAAAAAAGCCCCAAAGCTCATGCTTATGTCTTATTTCTGAAGAAACCAGAGTGACTCAAGCAAATCCTTACAGGTTTCCCGAGTCAGGGCCAAAGACTTATCTGCTACTTCTTTTCCCTCAGTACTCCTTTCCAGGACTTTCAAACATTACTTATTTTGGAGAAGGAACACAGATGAGATCAGAGCAGTTCGCTGTCACTTTCTGGACAGAGCTTGCTTTTTGTTTTAAAGCAACTCTAACACACAATATTTTGCAAGTTTCTTTATTTTAAAGGTTTAGGTCTTGGCTGTTGCAAGACATTTCCCCCCCTCCAGAAACCCCAGAAGCACTCAGGGCACTGTAAGCAACTGGCTGCACAGAGCTGAGCTTGTTCTTCCTTCCTCTAAACTCAGCTGGTTTTGTTCTAATTTGACCTGAAGTCATCTTCACGGGTGTGAAATTTGTTTTGCAAGCTCAACATCTATTTTATTTTAGAAAAGTGCCTTTAAATACACATGTAAGTACACAGAAATGAGTTCTGTTCACAAGCAACATTTTGATGCACTTTAGTCTGGATAGACAGAGTTCTTTGAAATGCTTGTCTGCCCTTTATGAGTTCCTAAAGCAGAGGGAAGCAGCACTCAGGGCAGCAGACGGCCAGGTGAGCTGAGCCTGACAGTGCCCAGGCACAGGGCAGCTCCCCAGCTCATGGACCTGCTGTGCCCCAGAGCCACCTCACAGCTGGGTCAGTGCTTCCCTTGCAAGGCCCATCCCAAAAGCTGCACACTGGGAGTGACAGCAGGTGGGGACTCCCTGACCACCATCAGATAAGGCACTGCTGCTTTTGCAGCTCTTCAAACTCTCCAGAGTTTATCTCCCGTGCCCTGTTGCCTGCATCACTTCAGGGAACAACTGGAAATTGTTTCCGGGTGTTCCAGGAAAAGTGATGAATACAGGCCCTTTGCTTAATCCTTTGTAAATGACTCTCTGGTTAACCCCCCAGAGAAAAAGGTGCTCTTTATATTCTCTTGAGCCATGCCTTGGTCTGCCCTACCAATTTCACAGTCCAGGTCGCCACAGGAAAGTCCTACAAGGGGCACACCAGAGATCAGCCTTGGGGGAAAGCTTGATCATTCCTGTGAGTAGGTATCTGTTCCAAGTGGAAAAAATGTTTAGACATGGTCCTGGGCAACTGGCTGTAGATGTCCTTGCTTGAGCAAGGGTGTTGGACCAGACTACCTCCAGAGGTCCTTTCCAACCTCAACCCTTCTGTGACTCTGTGAAATGGAGCAAATTCAGACTATTCCCATGCAAAGCCAGGTTAGGAATTTCTCAATACATCTTTCCCATCCACAGAGACACTGCTGAAAACACACATTGTAAAAGCAGGACTCATCCGGCTAGAACAGGCAGCTCCAGACTATTGGAACAATCACTGACATTTTCAGCCAGGAAGCACGAAGTTGCACAGCTCTTTGGAAATTTGCATTTAATTTACAGATTGAGCAAATCTAAAACCTCAACTATCTGATAAACAGGTTTTGATGACAACATCTCAGTTTCAGAAAGACTGAGCTGACTTTTTAAACTGAGGCTTAGTCTCTGAGGACTCTCAAGTGGGCGAGGTGGTTTCCTGCCCAGCTTTGTCTGCACAACATTTCACAGCCATTAAGGAGTCAAACCATGGGGTCTGTGACCAGCAACAGCGAGCATGATCCTGGGTCATGTACATTGAGTTTGATTTAAGGGACACAAGTAATGTTAGGAATGCATCCAGTTATTTTGGCAGCTCCAGGTCCTTCCCCAGCACTCTGTGCTTGCACTTGGGAGTACAGTGAGATGCAGTCACCTAAGTAAGAGCTGCTACATGAGAAGGTTTCACAAAGGAGCCATGTTATTTTTAGCTTTCATGATTTGTGCTTACCCTGGTGATCTGAATGTTGTTCAGTTGCTGCTGCCAGTGGAGAATACTCTCCATCCTGTGCACCCACATGTTGATGTTTCCAACCAGGACAGACTTCCCGACCCGTTGAACTAACGTGCAGAGAGATGTATAGAGGGTCTGCAGCAATTCCCGTATTAGCCTGATGTTCTGCTGATCTTCAAGGACTTTGGAAGAACAGGAAAGGTTAAAACTGGAAACTGCCCAAATCCTTTTCTAAATCTATACATTCCTCAGGCAGGTCAATTTATCTGCTATAACCCCACAGGCCAGAAGAGCCAGCCTGTGCTTTTCTTTTTAGAGGAAAGCACTTAAAACATTAGCCAGGCACAGTAGGTTAGACAACAGATGGAAAGAGATCCTCCAGGATAAGCAGATGAAGTATCTGCCCTTTCTGCATCACTTCCCATTTCTCACCACTGGCAAGCAGCCAGTTTTCCCCTCTGATATCCATGTGTACCTCTTCCCCATCTACCCCAGCTGACGTGCAGGGAGACAGCTCAGGATCTCCTTTCTCATTATGTATACACATACTAAGAGGCTGCTCTCAAATCCCAGCCTTCAGACAGAGCTACAGCATCAGGGAGGGAAGTGCCACATGTCAACCATTCAGCCCCCCTAGCAGGTGAAGACAGCTCTGGAGCTTTCCTTCCCTCTGGAGCAGTGGGAGCACTTGATACAGCAAACTGGCAACAAGGCGGCAGCAGAGGCTGCAAATAGGCTGGGGGCAGGAGCAGCCCATCTCTTCTGCAGTCAGAAATAGGACTCAGTAGGATGCAGAAGGGGTGGTAGCAAGGAAAAGGAGGAATCACCTCAGATACCTACTGGAATACAGCATTTCCCACTGGCCCCCTTCTCCTGTCCTTCCCCAAGGGAAAACAGAACTGCACTACAGAAATAAGCAGTGGTGCCCCTCTTCACCCACACCAGGTTTGTTGCCTGGCTGTTCTCAAGGATGTGGTCCCCACAGGACTGCAGGTTAGATCAGATCAGATCCGCCTCCTCCTCCCCCTCCCCACTCCTGTCTCTTACCTTTCTGCACCACTTTCTCCAAAATGTTCATGTAGTTCTTCTGGGCAATGCCGCTCAGTGACGTCAGCTGAGACTTCGCTATCAGCTCCAGCAGCTGGGGATAAAAATAGAGGTTGCAAGCCTTAGAGCACAGAGATACCTTTCTAATCTTGACTGCTGGTCACATGACGCAGCAAAACAGTCCACGCACTTGTTTGCTGCTGGAAAATAAAAGGGAGAGAGAACGACAGAGCAAGCTAATGCAAAGGGGGAGGAGAGCAGAGGCCAAATAATTAAACCCACATTGAAGGGGGGAATAAGAGCATTCTAATGATGGGGGGGGGGGGGGGGGGGGTGTGAAAACTTGATTCCATGGTTCAGAGACACAGAGAAACCACAGAGCAGCGCTGAGGCTGGCAGCCTCTATTCACACCAAGAGAACAACGAACAGCCAACGTCACTGTCCTTCACTGGGGCATAAACAAGCCCTGTCATGAGGGAACACGAGCGAATGCCTGTTTGGATGGGGATATTACTGACGAAGCACTAATGAGAATCAGACTCCGCGATTTACGTCAAGCTCCTGGGTTGCATGGGTTTTGTCAGAGGGCTGTCACCATGGCAGAAAGGTTGAGCACTGTATTAAAAACTGCCTCCCCCCTTCAACAAACTCCTGTTCCCCCAAGGTTTCCTCCTCTGTTCAGCTCTTACAGCTGAAACGCCAAGCCACCTTTCCCCATTTGTCTTGTTTACTTGTTAACCTCCCCTAATGGAGGTCTTGCTTTTACTTTCCATTAGGATTTGGTTCCCATCACTGATCTGACTTGTGTACAAGCTGAACACTGAATTTAGGCTGCAGATGCTAAAGGAAGCACTTCCCATAGGGAAGATGCCCTTTCCTCCCCAGCTCTACCACCACAAGAACAGCTGTGGAAGTTCCCTATGGACAGTGCACTGCAGAACATGTGTCCTGTGATCTTCCAAGCCTTCCTCCCTTCCCCCAGCATTATATAAATACACAGGCTGTCCACGTGTCAGTCCATTTGGTTTGGATGTACATAGCCTTCTGTTTTAATTTAGAAAGGAAAGGGAAAACCTTTTATGCTACAAGTCAATCAACACTTTACCACATGACTAGCTTATTAATCCTTTATCATCTGCAGCTACAGTATCCAGTTGCTGGCACTGCAGAGCCCAGCGAAGGTGCAACTACTTGTGTCAAGTAACTAAGATGGCTTTTGACAAGACTTGATAAGTCATGAGCTGAACTGTTTGCCCCGCTGTAAGAATGCGTCCAAAAAGTCACTGGCAGCTTGCCATGAAGCAGGGAGCTGGGGAGAGGTGTCACTGCAGTCATTTGCCTGCTCTGCTCACATGTGACTACCACTTAGGAACAGTGAAGTTGCCTTGAGTGACTGATCTTCCGTCTGATTTCCAGGCCAACACCACCATCAGATTGATTTTAGTTTACATTCTATTAATATCTTGTACCTCTCATGACTCAAAGAAAACAAGATGAAAAAAGACCTGTGCTAGCTTCTGTGAAGGGCAGGCTGCCTGTTTTCTTGGCTCATTTGGAGGGAAACAAGAGATGCAGGAGTTGGTAATACTTGGTACACAGGTATCAGTGCATCTTCTTGCTATATCAGCTAAACTGAGACAACAATAACTAGATACTCTTAAAAACAAGGCAGTTTGCAAGACTCTCAAGATGTTTTATAAGAGGTCTTTTATTCATTTTTTGAAAAAATGGAGAAGTAGAAAAAAATATCAGTGCCCCAAAGTGGTCTGTAATACCCTGCTTACACTGAACTGTTCAGCCTTAAGACCTTGATTATAGTGATCAATTCACCAGACCCCATCTGTACATTAGCCACACATGCACCCAGATCAGCTCTTCTGTGCATGAACAACTGCTGTCTCCAGATTGCACCATTCTGGAACTGGCACAGAGACAGCTTCCTCCAGGCTGGGTGTTAGCAATGTTGTGCCCCTTACAGAAAACACCAAAATGCACCCAGTGATAAGCATCACATAATGCAATACTGTAGGAGTGAGATGCCAAGACTATTCTTTAAGAACAAGGATAAAAATCTCAGTTCCTTGAAGAATAGCTAAATTAATTTTGTCCCAATTTAGCAAATGATGAACAGATTCAAATTTGCCCTGTCTGTGTTTATCAAGGTTCAATTTATGTTCAGTGAACCAGCTCAGATATCACGTGTCACCTCCCTTCCCCTGCAGCAATAAACACAGGATGAAATTCCATATGAAAACTATGTTGTGAATACTTCTAGGACTGCTCCACAGGGACTGCTGGCTGAAGCAACCAGCTTAGCCCTCCAAACCAAGACATTTTTTATTCTTCTGTGCTCATGTAATACACAAAAACCAAGTAAGCAATACAGTTTTATCCATGCCCCACACACTCCAGTTTATTGGAGGGTCTCAGCCTTGGCACAGACCCAGAGTATGCTCTCTTAATGGACTGCCAAATGGGGGTCTACAGCATTATAAAAGGTAAATCAATGTTGCCACTTGCATAATTCAGACCAAGAGCAGACTGATGAATTCAGATTAATGCTGAGTAGGGTAAAAAGGCTGGAGAGCTGCAAGCATGTGTTATGATGCAGTTGCATTAAGTCCAACCCACGCTCAACTGAGAGGGACAGATGGTTGGAGAGAGTGCACAGGGAAAGGTTAAGAGCAATTTTAAAAGGCCTGCTTTCAAAACCACTAAGTGATTGCATTCCAGCTGATTGTAACTAGGCCTCAGAAGCCTGCAAGACCTTCAGAAAACAGGGCATTAGAGCCCAATTCACTCTTTCACCTCCTCAGAAGTTGATAAAGGTGATCTGGTAGCTTCCACAGAAAATCCTTCCTACCATCTCACCCACATTTTGTGTGCTCAGAGGTCTGCCAGGGCCACAGAAGAAGGGCAAGAGGTGCAGTGGGCTATTCCAGAGCCTCTGCAAAGCTGGCAGGAGGCAGCATCTTCAGCAGCAGGGCAATAACCTGCTCAGTTCCCCACAACTGATAGGCTTCTGCCCAAACCCCACTAGCAGTCAGCCTAAAGCAGCTGGTGCAATGAGCCACTCAGCTCCACAAGCAGAGCAGGTCCTCCTACCATAACAAGGGAAAAACCCAGCAAACACAACACTGCCATGTGGCAGGGAATAAAATTCCCTGCTTCAGGACCATGAGAACACATGACATGAGTCACATACAGCAACTACTGTGCGCAGCATTGCTTAGACCTGCTACAGCCAGATGGCCCTTGTGCCACTGTCTCCATTCAACACCGGGGTGTGTGGGCAAGCCATACCCCAAACTACACACAGCTACCGGCTTATAGCACAGAGAGCCAAACCCCCCCCCAGCAGGCCTGCTGCACCCAGCAGATGGGTGCAACCTTGACTCAAAAAGAGAAGTGGTTTTAATAATTACAAATCGTAAGTCTCAAACTACTCGAGTGTAAACCCACTTTAAATACCTCAAAACAGCTATGGGGAACCTGGACTGCACCCTGGGGGTATCCATAAGCTCCTGCTGGTTGGGGATTATGGTTCCTCACATCTGTACAGCTTAAGAAAAACATATTGCAGTGAAAGATTCCTCCTCCAGCCCCACCTTGCTCTCACAGCCCTTCAGTTTGTGGCTGAAATGTCACATTGGCTTTCAGCTTGGATGCAGAGCAAGAGCAGGGCGAGTTATAATGATTTACAGCACAGGTGCTGACAGATCTCCATGAGACAGCATCAAGCAGATTCTTTCAGCACAGCATAAATCCAGGGCTCCTGGAGCTAACTGCTGTAAAAACATTATATAAAAGACTACTTTAGCAGGCTGCCCATTATCTAGATCATGTTATTCCAGAAGTGTGCCCATGCAGCTTAACCTAACCTAAGCTTTTATGATCAGACACAGCACCTTCCCTTGAGATATTACTGCACAACCATCATACAAAAAACCTTTCTGAAGGAAGCAACCTGTAAAACCTGTCATCTGAACAGTGATCCCAAAGGAGAACAAACAACTGCTGGGCTGTAGGTACTTGTTGACTTTGCTGATATTACTTTTGCTTACAGAATACTTTCAGTCTTTAAAGCCAGAGAAACCAGGGCTGCTTCAAGACCAAGAACAGTTTAGGTCCTCTGTATCAACCACACACTTCATTACTAGCTCTAAAACTTTGTCCTGTACCACACAGGCAGATGGTATAGTTTAAAAGATCAACAAGAATCAACTCCTAGCACCAATGCCTAGACTTAGCACTTCCAGCACTGTATCATCAGACTGTCAAGATGAGATTGATGTTGGAAGAGAATTTCTTCAGTTATATGTACTCACTGGCTCCATGAATACCTGCCAAGCTTCTTGCAGCTCACACCACCTCAGAGGTGCCCATTTGATCAGTGCACTGTCAGTATTACTTTGGGAATATCTTAAGCAGCAGACATGTATGACAAAATCAGCACCAAAACCACTGTAGCACTTAAGTTCAGAGAAATTCAGAAAGGAATGCTTTGAAAAAGACAAGCTGATGCTCAGCCTGAAAGCCCATTTTTATGTCAGCAGCGATGTAGCTGATTTCTCTGTAGGGCAAGTCTGCATGTAGCTAGCAGAATCCCAAGCCTGCAGCTGCTTCTCTCCCCCTTTCCCCTACAGACAACCTCATATTCTTCCCCAGCCTCCAACTCTAAACTTCCCTCCTTGGAAAGCATTTGGTTGATGAACTAAGTAGCATGACATTAATCAGATACCCCAAGCAACGGGCAGAACTAGAGAGAACAAGGGAGGGAAAGGAAAAATATTATGCCTGCCAATATTCAAAGGCATTTTCCATGTGACAGTCTGCTCATCTGTGTGCTCTAGCAGGCCTGTGATTTGCAAAGGACCATAAGCAAGATCCACATTTAGGCAGAGCTTTACATGAGTGAATCTGGCCCCTAAGGCACTTTTATGAGCTACTATCCACTGGAGACTTGGCTGATACAAGTCTTTCATTTTAAGAAGCCAGTTTTCTATTTGATCCATGGTACCAGGTTTAATACCTTCTTTAATCTGCCAAACCACAAGTCAGCCTCAATTAGGAAGCTTCATACTTCTCAGTAGTGCTGTATCCTTAAAACTACTGAGGGAAAACTATTCTTACAAGCTCAAAAGAGAGCCAATCTGTAGAAACAAGGACACATGCCGACTTCCATACAGAAAACTGCTGTTTTGGACACAGCAGATTCAGGATGCTTTACGGAAAAAAGGGGGAAGAAGGTCAGCCAGAGCCTCCCCACCAGACCACACCAGCCTCACTGAAATTTCAGTTCACTATTCAAAATGTTAAATAGGAATTCTGCTCGATCATTGCAGTCCTATGCAAGATACCCTCCCAGGCTGACAGAGGGTTCCACAGGCTACTTGTCACCTAGACAAACCATGGTGAACCTGCCCAGATCACTTCTTCCTTAGACACTTCATGACATTTGACTCAAAGGGAAAGCAATACCAATGCTGCTTGCTCCAGAACCTAAAACCTGAACAGCTGGTGCCTCATCAGTGATCAGCTGCTGATGAGATGTGAAAAGGAGCTGTTTATAAACAGCCTCAAGTTAACAGATTTTTTTTAAGCTTATTGAATTCCAAACCTTGATAAACATCTGAAGTTCAAGATCAATTTGCAGATCACATGCACATAATATACAAGCATCCACAGTCCTTGAGACAGTAGCTCCCCAGCCACTACCACGCCCCTCAGCCACACAGAGCCAAAAGACCTGTTACACAAAGCCAGAGTATGGGGAACTGGGGGTTGATGCCTTCCTCCTACCAACTAATGGTGTCAGGAGTAACCAAATGTTTCACCACTGAAACCACTGCTACTCACACAGTATTTAGAGTAACCATGATCCTCACAAAAGTTGAGCAGTGCCTCGAAGAGGTTTAGCCCAACCTCTCATTCCCAAAATGCTCAGCTCCTCAGTGTTTCTCCTTTATCACTTCAAGCAAGATAAAGCTTCACAGCCCTCATGGAGCTGAAGCCTTCTGCACAGAGATTTCTGCTGCTCTATGGCCTCTGCAGAGACGCCATGCTCCCTTTGGGGGCTACAGAAGTTACACTTAAGCTGAACTGAGAAGTCAGGGATGAAAAACTAAGTTCTCTGGGTTTCAGAAGTGAATTTAACAATTGAAAAGTAGTAGGAATGCTAGGCTAAGGACAGCCCATCACCTATGTTACCACCACCTATGTGCTTCTCCATTTCAACAGATCAAAGAGGAAGTTTTGGGCATCTATCAACACAGCTACCATCAACTACTTCATGTAGCAAAGCACAACACCCCCTCCTTTCACACCTGGGCCTCTCTTAGCAAGTGCTTCCTATCACCCAATTGCAGCTCAGTTCAGAGCCTCTACCACCATCACAGCAAAATAAACCCTGGCCTTTCACTCACCCTCACAACATAGTTGAATCTCCTGGAGTCCAGGATAGCACTGGAGAAGTCAAGTCGGTTGAAGGCTTCCCCCAAGGTGCAGTAACCATGGCGCTGAGGAAAAAAAAAACAACACAGTCTGGGTCATGTTTTGGCCGACATGAGTCCAGACAGCACCAGGTAGATGTGACCCAGGGCAAACTCAACTGAGCAAGCTCATGGTTACAAACCATGGGAGCAGCTTGCAGCTGGAGGAGGCCTCCCACAGAGCCACACTCACTGACATCAGGAGTGGGCATGGCCAGATGTAGATTTAAGGTATTTTCCTCAACAGGGACCAAGATCTGCTCATGACCCATGAATTTACTGGTGAGAATGAGCCACACATTCCCATGGTTCAATATGTAGGGCAAGTTCAGAGCAGTCTCATACAGCTGCTTCTCTCCATGAGCACAAGCAAGGCGTTGTGATGAATTCCAATGGTTTTCCATGTTAGGATTGTTCTGGATGAAAGCCAAGAACAGTATTATGGCTTGGTCTGCAAATGGCTGGTTTTTTTGTTTTTGTTTTTTGTTTTTAACTGAGGGAAGCAAACAAGTCATATTTTAAACACATGTACAGCAAGCCCTGGCTCCCTGATTGGGGCTTAAAATCATTACTGAAATTCCAACCACAAGCCAGATCTTCTACTTATCTCCGAAGAGCTTCTGGTGATTTATATCAATACAGTATCTCCCACTGTGTGGAAAACACAGTAGAAAATGGAACAAAGAACCTGTGGAGGCACTCACCTCTTTTGTGCTCCCCTTGTGAACATAGATCCACTTCTCCTGGTGGAAATCTGTTTGGATAAAGACATTTTGCTCAGTTAATCTCCCACCTCAGAGGGCTGGATCTCTGTTCTGCTCATAACACTCACTGCCCTTTTAGTGCAAATGAAGTTATTTCGTGTTTAAACCATCTGCACTTGAAACCAAATCTAGCAACATGCTAAGCTGCTTTGTTTCCATACTCCTTCATTTGAGACTGCAGCCCTGAGCCTTAGAGAGGGCTTCTGTTTCAGTGACACAGCTCAAGACTCTAAATGTTTAATCTGCCAGCCACAGATATACCATAGCACCTCCTTTTATTTGGTCCCAGACAGTAAGCGTGGCTGACAGCCAGGTTCTGTTGTTATTGATTTTATTAACTATTCATTACCTTGGTTACAGGCTTGGGATTGAATGTCAAATTTGAAGTTGAGCAAAAATGTCATGAGACACCAGGCATGTGGGAGAGAGCTTTTAGCAGTGAGGTCAGGCTCAGAGGAGCATGCTTGTGCTTGCAGCTAACTTGCTAAAAAAGAAAAACCTATTTGGGACCAAAATTTTCCTATTTCTAATTGCCCCTCCCTTCCCTCAGAAATGGGAGTTGTCCCATCCACTCCCCAAAATAGCTTTCCTGTACCTACCACACACTGACTTGGTTTGCAGTAAAGCCCTTATTGTAAGCAGTTTTGCTGCTCAATCCTCCTCCCACAGGCTTTTGACACTACTTCCACCACACACTGTCAATCAACAGCTAGTGTAAGGAAAATTATTCTCCCTGTCCTGCTAGACTTCTTTCCTTAAAGAAAATATCAGACTTCTGGAGTCCTTCCACCTAAGGATGCAGCGATGTCACTGCTGCCTGGTACTGTGAGCCCAAGGCCAGCCCATCTCAGTTACAGATGTGCAGACCCTTCACCAGGCCCTTTTAAATAGTAGGTCACAGCAGAATCCAGCCAAAAACTGTCATGGTAACATTTGTTTGTTCAGAGAACCAAATACACTGAGGGGCCAACTTCTGGCACCAGTTTCTGAAATCCTGGGGGATGCACAATGAGCTAATAGTAGTGTGGGAATTGTAACTCATTTCCTCTGTGTGTGTTTACATTTGTAGCCCTCACATTGAACTCTAGTACCTATCTTCCAATCAGATCAACACAGACCCTGCTGCCCCTGCAGGCTCCCCCGAGTCCTCCACAGTGCACCATCCAGACCCCTGCTGCTCACTGAGCACACAGGGATTTCAAACCTTCCATTGTTTTGAGTGAGCTGAAATCTTATTTCATTTTTCACGCACTCCGCGCACAGAGATAGGATCAAAGCTCGCATTCAGGCTTATAGCCTCCAGTAATGTAGATTAGTGCTCAACATGCATATGGAAGGAAGAATAAATTTAGCTTATTGTGCACAAGGAAGTCTATGGGGTGGGGGGGAGGGGGGGAACCAAACCCTGGAACTGGTTCATTTGAATGTACCATAGGAAAAAATTACCCTCTTTCTGACAAGCACAAATGACAAATTTGAACAGAACAAGCACAACTCCTCAGAGCAAGGATTATAACAGGGGCATAAATCTTCACATTAAACCGTATCCAAGTTCTCTACTTAGGTCAAACATGGGCGCAAAGCCCTTCAAGACACTCTGGAAGGCTTCATAAACTGCAAAAACCAGAGATATGAAGCATTTTCCATTGTATTGCAGCAACTCCTCTTAAAAAAGAAAGCCCAAATAGACATCTTACATTGAATCTTGGCTTTGTTATTCAGCAGGTCTTTTTTTCTCTTCTTGGCAGCAACATCATAGTTCAGGCTGTTGAAGAGATTCTCTTTGTTGTGATCATCCTTCTTGCAAAAGCTGTGAATGACACAAAGCAAGGTTTCTGTTTATTTCTGCAGTCTGCTGAACACTGTTTCCTGCAAGGAGAGAAAATACACAGGTTTTCTCTGGGAGCTCCAAAGCTGTCTCCTTGCAGGCTGCTCTCAAGAGGTCTACATGCAGATTTTGCATCCAGCAATGGCATTCTTAAATGGGCCTCTGGTGTCTCCTTTCTGTGCTACGATACCCATAACGAACAGAAACAAGTAAAACAGATTGCACAGTTAGTGCTGGGACACTACTGGGCAGTATTTTCCTTTCTTTAACCTGTTTCTATCTTTATGTAGCACCGTATCTTCCTGCTGCAAGTGGTAAATTCCTCTGAGCCATTCAGACTTCCACAGACAGACATATTTAGATATCTGAGGACATATATATGCACTCAAAATATTTATTAACAAGAGTCCCCACAAAACATTGTTTCAAGCTCAGCTGAGGTCCAGACTCTGCTGATGGCTTTCCAAACACCACATAGTAGTGACTATACAAATTAACAGCTAGGATCTCTAGTTCAAGACTGCCCATCTGCTTTTGCTGGAGCTCTCTGCTGTAACTATATGATTAGTGCAGAGAGCTATAACCCCTTATTTCCTCCAAGGCCAATGAAAGACTATCTATAAAGAGGATTTGCATCAACATCTCCACATTCTTCAGACCTGCAAATGAGCAGATCCATGTAGCAATGTGAAACTGGGAAGCCCCCAGACAGTCACATCACTGTAGCACAGATCCATGGGGGTGGCAGCACCCACCAGGAGCTTTCACACCAGAGGACCCCGCACCCACCATGCTGCCCAGAGCCGTGGGAATGATGTCTACATGTGGAGATGCTGTGAAGACAGGAAATGCATGCAAGAGAATGAAACAGACAGCTCCCCATCTCCCCCATTGCCCCAGCAGCTCACAGGGGATGGGAGGTGGCACTTTGTAGCTCCGAGTTCAAAGAAAGGTCCCAGGCACATCACTGCACCTCTCAGCTGCTGTGGCTGGGTCACCCCTGGAGCTCTGGCAGGCCCTTGAGAGTTGCTGCTTACAGCCCTGGGCAAGCTTCCTCCACAACAGCCATGAGGACCTTCACATAGACTGCTTCCTCCACAGACCTCATGTTTATGTTGCCTCCAAAAGACAACACAAGCACCATACCAGCTCACACCTCTGACAGCTACCCAGCCCAGGCTCCTGCAAGGGAATGAAACCTGGGGGACAAGGTTCCTCATCTCTCCTGTTTGACATCTGTCAGCACAGCCACGCCAGCAACATACATGGGAACCAAGTGACCAAGTCATTTTCAGCCCCATGAGGGACCCAGACCTCTTCCAGATGGGTGTTCTGGTTTGGCATCTCACATGGCTCCCAGTGCAGAAGAAACTTCCCTGGCTTCAGAACATCAAGAGTATCAGCTCCCCCTTCCTGCTCCATGTCCTCCTCACAGAGGACATCTGCAGCAACTCCTGGAGGTTCCACCACCATACTGCACGAGGGGAACAGCAGCAGTGCAGGTGCACAGTATTCACAGTAACAGCTCAGGGAGCCTGACACTTCCACCAGGATCACCTAAACCTAAGAGCAGAACATCTCAGCTGCGCATCTCCCCCATCCATGCTGCTTTCTGGTGGGGGACCAAAGCCCAAGAACAGAGCATGGCAGTAAGGAAGAAGCAGGTTTGAGATGTTTGAGCTTGCATCTTATCAATAATGGGTCAACACACCAGGCCCAAGAGCACAAGATGGATCTGCTTTAAATCTTATGTCAACAGCACACCCCTGACTGTTGACTTCCTACTGAATGACTCTGTAATCTGAAACCTTCATAACAGCAATGGACGAATTCCAGCATGGGAGGCAGATTATCCCCTGTTTATGTACTGCCAGGTTTCCATACGCTTCTCCAAGACATCTTGACAGGTTGAACAGTTGGACACCAGCACCTGGCACTGGAAGGACCCCAGACTGGGGCCAGTATGTCACCTGCTCGCTTTTTAATGCGAAAAAGGATGCATAAACCCATGGCAAAGCCAGTATTCCCAACACAATCACATTATTAACAGCCATTTTCCTACCTACTTACAAGTGAGATGCTTTCCATTCTGAACTTCATTTTAACTTAGCGCTTGCACAAAAGGGAGACCTGCTACATAAACCTCCCTGCACAACAACATTTCAGCAACGGCTCACAGCAAATCCCTGTTTGCTCCACGTCCCTTTGCCATGGACATTCCTGACCCATCCCTCAGCCCAAACCTAACTGAAAACAAGATGCAGCTCTGAGAAACGCTTGGTTCTGACAGGAGCAGTTTGGCCGGAGACCACGAACACCCACACTGCTGCACAGGCTTCCTGCGCGCCGTAGCTCGGGGCTTGTTGATGTTGTGCAGGCAGATTAGTCAAGCAGCACGGAAGGTACATTACTCATGGCTTCAAACACATCATCCCGCTCCAGCCCAAGAGCCGGGAAGCCCCAGCCAGGGCTGTTTCAGCAGGGGGATATCCCTAGATTCCCACAGGAGAGGCTCAGCGATGCTCCCCGTGGGCACACCGCCCAAGCCGTGCGGCTGCGACTGTTTTCACCCCCTTCTTTCCCGTCGCACAACCGAGAGGGACAACGGCCTCTGTGTATCGACAGCCCGGACCGCCGCCGGGGCTGAGGGAGACGGGCTCCGGGTCCATCACATGCGCGGGGGAAAGACACCGAGCCCCCTCGCCTCAGCGCTACCGGCAGCTCCGCACAGGAGCCTCCCCCAGCCGGCCCCAGCCCGGGAGAGAGGAGACGCCGCCGTCCATCTTACCGACCCCCCCCCCAGCGCCGTGCAGCCGCACCGCGGCGCCCCCTGGCGGCACCGCCTTGAGGGGGGGCAGGAGCGGGGACCACAAGAGCCGCCGCGGGTACCTGCTGATGTCGCCGACGAAGCCGCCGCTCTTCTCGTCGAGGAAGCGCGTCCATCCGTCAGCCGTCTTCACCCAGCTCTGCCCGGGGGACCGCCAGTCCTGCCCCAGGAACGGCATGGCGGCGAGACGGACCGACACCAAGAGAAGAAGCGGCAACGGGACCGGAGCCGGAGGACAGCACAGTAGCGCCGAGGGTGCCGCAGGGCTGCTAGCGCCGCGCAGCGCCGCGCTATTTATGCAGCGCAGTGTTGCCGGAAGCGCGGGGCTGACCCCGCCCCCGCCGCGCCGCACGTGGCGGTGTTTATCGGCACCGCCCCGCCCTCCGCGAGAGGCCCTGGGCGGGGAGAGGGGCGGGGCTTTGCTGTAAGGGGGCGTGGTTTTGTCAGAGGGGGCGTGGTCACAGGGGGTGAGCAGCGGCAAGACGTGAGTGAGTCCATGTACTGCGCAGGAGTGTGGGTGGTCGCGTTCCGTTGATAAAGCATCAACTATCGGTTACAGATACATATAAACGTAACATCTTATGCATATTGCAATTCCAGATATAATGTGTATTCCAGATACATTCCTATATTCAATTTATTGATACAAATAACGCAAGCATTTACACAGGCATGTTTGTTAATACTTATGAATGTGGTTTACATTTTCATGTATTACAAAATTGTGTTCTATTTATAGAAATATACAGAATCTGAACATACAGACAAATTTAGAACCTTGTGAAAACATGCAGTCTATATATACAATGTAGTATGTGGTTCTATATAGAGAACACAGAAATTTTTCTGTATCGAATGGGTTCTAAATATATGCTTCATATGTATATATTTTATACTTGCATAAAGTTTTATGTATGTACAACATACATAAAACATCTATAACGTGTATATAACATGGTTTATGTATAACATGTATATAATGTTTTATGTACCTATTTTTTATATATTCATGTGGGTTTATATTTCATTTTTATATATAATACTAACTATTTTTTTATTTTATAGATAAATATGATGAAAGATACATAAATATATATAGCAATATTGCATGTGGAAGTATGTATGATATATATATACATAGTTTATTGTGTGCATGCACTGGCATTTGGTAGCAGAAGTGTTAGGTACTGAACATTAAAAACACAGGGGTCTTGCACTCAAGCCCAGGCTGAGGGAGCATGTTCACAGCCGGAGATTCACTATGGGACATTCTGTAAATATAGGACATTTTGGATTAGGATTGCAATGTATTTACCCTGTGCTGTAGTGTATGGATCTCAACACACAGATTTTCATATTGCTGGTTGGCATTACCTGGGGGCATTATACGTGGGGAGTTCCTGGGTTCCCAGGAGCAGCTCCAATCCCATGGGAAGAGATGGGCAGCCATTGGGATGAGGCGGCCATTGGGATGGAGCAACCATTGGCCTTACCTGGCCAGTGCTTGGGGCTGAGAGCTGAAGAAAACAGACATGGTGAGCAGCTTCCTGCAGGGCCTCAGGGATAAACTGCCCTAATCCAGGTCACGTTGACAGCAGTTCCCTGGCTGCGCTACTGGCGGCTATCAGGCGTTCAGCAACATCTGGCTCTTGCAAGTGACGGTGTTACGTATTCACCCTCAAAAAACCCCCAAATCCCTAAGAAAAACAAGCACTGGAGGACTGCATGTGCAGATGCAGTGATGCCAGGGCTGAAGGCAGGCAGCAGAGCTGTGGGGTGTGTGTCTGCTGATGCTGGAAGCTCCACACCAGGAGCGTTGGCCATCCCCTGGCTATCCCACCTCCATCTCCTGCCGTGGCTCGCCAGTGGGAGGAACAGTGAAAACCCCTCAGTTAGATGCTGCCGTGTCTGAAGGGTGGCTGCAGTCCCTGGGGACAGAAAGTGCTTTAGAGCAGCACTGAGCCACAGCACGTGCATAAAATAAAATGCAAATACAAGGGCACCAGGGCCAAGCTCTCCTTCTGCTCATCCAATCTAACCTTTCAGGGCAGTGGTCCACCCTTCTTTACAGAAGTGCCAGCTATTATTTGCATGGCAGGGAATACTGTTTAAGCTGTGAGAGTGTTTTGAGTAGCAAAATCACCTTTGTTGGGTTTCTTTGGCATTTTAAGTGCCCCATGCCTTCCAGCGAGCATCTTCCAACAGAATCACTGCAGATGATGCAACCAGCAGACCCTGGAGGGGACCAGGTCTGCAGCAACGGAGCTGCTTGGCGTGAGGCAACCTGTTAACAGCATCATTGAGCTGAGTGTGACCCTGAAAGGCTGTGGCCTGTCATCCACATCCTGCCCTGGATAGTGGGTTAAGCCAGGTAGATCCATGTCACTGAAAATATCTTCATCCTTTCAATGAGGGTTGCTTGGCAGGTCTAAAGTCCAGGTTCAGCCTGCAGAAGGGGATGCGGAGAGAAATGAGTGTGAGGGAAGGCAGATGCAGACATTGAGTTGTCCCATCTCTTAAAAGCTGCCATGATCTGGGGTTATAACCCAAAAGCACCATCAAACCCTTGTGAGTGGCCAGGGAGCCACTGATGATGATTGTTGTGAATGTTCCATCTCTGGCAGTGTTCAAGGCCAGGTTGGACAGAGCCTTGGGTGACATGGTTTAGTGGGAGGTGTCCCTGCCCATGGCAGGGAGTTGGAACTGGATGATCTTAAGGTCCTTTCCAACCCAAACCATTCTGTGATTCTTTGATCTGCAGCAGGTGGTCGGCTGCTGACCTAAAGCACGGTATCCGACCTTGAGCTGGTGAGAGCTCTGGATTCAACCAAGCAGGGGGAGTGTTAAACCCGTCAGAGGTTTTAACACAGTGTGGCAGGAGACCTGCCACCATCAGCCCTGTAGGACAGCTTGAACACAAGCCGAAAAATCATAGAATCATAGCATAGTTAGGGTTGGAAAGGACCTTAAGCTCATCCAGTTCCAAATGATATGATTGAAAGCACAACACAGAACTGAGAGCTGAGCTCACTGTGTAGACACACAGGCGCAGGGCCGGCGTTCACTGGCCTGGACCTGCCACAGGCACTGACACTTCAGAAACGGTGGCATAGGCAGAAATCAGAGCTGCTGCTCCGGAGCATGGACCCTTTCCCTGGAGACCAAAATAGATCTGCTCGTGGCTGAGCTGCGCTGCTCCCACTGGCCAGGTGCAGTAGCTGTGATCCGCATGGGAGCAGGTCACAGTGGGGAGGCTTTTTGGGGGCCTTCTCCCACACACGCGCTTCCACACCAAGGTGTTGCAGGGCAGCAGCTTCCTTAATAGTATTATTAAAGTACCTTTACTTAGCAGGTACCCCAGACCCTGCCTTCGGGCTGTTGGTATGCAGGGGTTATGTAGCAGGGACAAACCTATGCACTGCCTAGGAAGGTGCAGAGATTTTGCAAATGCGGGGATGGTTTTGTCCAAAGGCAGTACATCTGTAACTGATTGTGGCTCCTTGTTTACGGATCCGGGAATTGGCAGCAGAGGGATTAAAAGTGGTGTGTTTAGCTGTGAAGGGAGAACGTTCCCATCCCTACTCCAGCATGATGGCTCTTGAAGAGGCCTCCCTGCAGCACGTCCACCACAGCCAGCATTATTGGCCCTGTAGAAACCAATTCAGGCAGCCAGCCTGGTGTGCACATGTGTTTGCATGTTGCACAGACATCAAAGCAGCCTCTGTTGCCTCCTATTTGAGCTCCCTAACCTTGAACCCCTCCAGGGCTGGGCTCTTCATGTGAAGAATGAGTTTTACCTCAGAGCATGCAGGAATGGCTCTGCCATTGCCCACAGCTGGTTGGAGCCATAGGGGATTCACCATAGCAGTTTCAGAGGGAAAAATTGAACTTTTGGGATGAGCTGGGTACAGGGTGATATTGCCAAGCTTCCACAGGGTGCAGCTGGGAGTGGGCATCGTCCTGGTGCAGCAGTGCAGCCGCTCTGCATGCAGGGTGGTCAGGGCTTCAGTCCAGCGGTGTCTCCACTTCAACCTCTATAGACTCATGGTCAGGATATATGGATTATAGACACCACAGGGCAAAGCTAACACTGGAAATCAGCTCTGTCAGTGAAAATGGGCACTGAGGCTGTGGGTGAGGGGTTACTGCACTGGGCAGTGTGTAACAAAACCCAGCAGTGTTGGCTTACAGAAGGGCAGCGGGTGCTTGGCTGTTGGTTGTGACTCACTTGGGCTCCCACAGGGAAGTAGACTTCAGGAAAGATATTGATGTAGTCATTGTATCATCAATGTCCGCATTAACGAGTGCATTTCCTGCATGGGGGTAAAGCCAGGAACCCTCCTTCAGAGCAAACTCCAGGCAACAAACCCTCATGTAGTGCATTTTAGAGGATCCTCAAGCCATCCCAGGTGAGCTCCCACCATCTGATGGGGAGAGGTGAGGAGCCATGTTTGGCTGTGGCAGCTGTGCTCTCAAACCTCAAAAGCAAAAGTGTCCCTCTTTTACCCCCCATTTGAACCAGCTGATGGATACTTCCTTAGGGAGACAGGCCTGGTAGCCTCCGTGCCCCATCATCTCAGGCTGGGCACGATGTGGCTCACACTGCTGTGGGAGGGTTTGCTGTCTGGCAAAGACACACAGTGATGATGAAGAGCATCGAACTTTGGGAACAGTGAGCCATGGTGTGGCCCAAGCTTTATTTTACTACACCTCTGTTCCCTAAAAGCAGCAAGTCACTGAGTGAGAGTAAATGCCAGAATAAGCTTGGCTCGCTGGTGTGTGTGTTATAGGGATGCTTTAGGAGAGCTGGTTTGTGCCTGGGATTCTTTTTCTCCTGTCTGGATACTCACAGGTGTCCTGTGGAGCCTTATCTTTGAAAACATTCAGTAGCTCTACCCTGGATCAGGCCTCCCTTTGGCCCTGGGCATGGGAGGGGACCTTTCTGTCCCTGCCTAGAAGCTTTTTTGTGGCAACCTGGTGGACGTGGGTCCGTCAAGGCACCCAAGAGTGAATTCCTTGGGGATCCTCCCAGGACAGGGATATCATGCAAACATGTATGACCAAATGCCTCTCACCAGGGACTGCTGCCTGTCCATTATCAGACCCTGGTTCTCAGGTTGGCAGAGCACACGTCTAACAGCAATAACAGTGGCACCCAGTGTTCTTCTCATCTTCAAAGCATTAGTGGT